GCCGCCATGTTGTGAAGGCGCTGTGTGTTTCGTTGTGAAAGCGAAACTACTTTGTTTGGTCTTCCAAAAGAGGACACGACTAGAAATCAGTGTATTTACAACACTGTTCCAGAACACTTCAACCCAAATATTCAGATGTGTGCAGCACATTTTATGGAGGACTGTTTCCTGATCCTGGTAGAGTAGACTACAATGCCGGCTGTTCTGACTCACAGTCTGTAAGTAAGTTTTCATATTTAAAGGATTTACCACTATGATTCAAACGTGAGTTTTGAGCAGTGTAGAGTAGCGCTTGTTGTTTGTCATTTCTCCGATCACAAATGCAGACATGGTTTTATGTTTACGCGGCGTGATGCAACGCGTAAAAAGACAGTATAAGTCATTATAATCCATAATTATGTCCCCACTGGATGCAGCAAATGCCTCGTTTATAATGGGTTTTAATGTTTTTGTCTCGTCGCTCCGGCCGGACAGGGCATCACAGTATGGTAAGGGGCGTAACATTTCCGTCACACGCTTGAGGTATTCAGCCAATCACAACACACTGGATAGCTGGCCAATCAGCGTACACCTCGCTTTTCAGACTGATGAGCTTTGTAAAAATCGACGCGCTTCAGAAAGGTGGGGCATAGAGGAGAAACAATAATGTACAATATGTGGAAAATAATGTTCTTTTTAGCAACATATGACCCCTTCAATAAAATACAAAATTCAATTCAGAGTTGAGAACCCCTGATTTATACATTCTCATATATAACGACAACACAGTTCACACTGTACATTTCACTTTTGAACAAGCTAAAGAAGCATTTTAAGTGCATTTTAATAAATTTTAAACGAGATCTTTTCTGCACTTCTAACGCATTTCCGTCTTTTTGTCTCAGGTGTTTGGTGTTTTAGAAACAGCCAAAGAGAAGTACAGCATCGAGGACTACTGCGTCAGCCAGATCTCACTGGAGCAGGTGTTCCTCAGCTTCGCCCAGTTCCAGCACTGCGCCGAGGCCTGCAGGAAATGACACGCTCAAGCTCTAAAGGGACGGAGCGCCTCGATCGGACCTTCACCTGAAGAGTAGAAGGTACAGCCTGGGCCGACTGACTCTCTGTCAGACCACTGGACATTGCTCAGGTGTCTCTCTTCACTTACACATCTCTGACATGATCATACATGCGTAACACACATTTCCAGACTTAAACACTGTGTCGCACGGAGACAGGACCACTAACGCAAGATCTCCGCCAGGAGGGGGTTTATTTCAAGTCTGTGTGTGCGTTTGTGAGCAGTTTGAGTTTCAACGGGAAGTTTGTCACACCATCGGAAACAGTCTTTGAATTTTAATCGGTGGGGCTCCGTACTGTAAAGAAAAGGACGTTTATTCATCATCTGTAAGCACGACAGACAGCATGTCTCGTGTGCACTTGTGTACGATTGCGGTGTTATTTATAAATGTCTTTTTTGTTTGGTTCTGCTCACCTGTTTTTTTTTTACTGTGGTCTCAACGCTTAAGGTATGTGCATTTCACCCCTTTTTCTGATAAAATATGCAAAAAGGCCAGAAATATCAGAAAATGCAGTGTCCAAAAACATGGTATAAAAGCTGCTTCTTTGGGATTCGCAATGTTGTAGAATATAAAATTTACAAGAATAGTTACTGAATATAAATTTTATAGAATTAGGGTAATTTGTAGAATTTATACAATAGATTTATTCCCCTTATCTAGACATTTAAAGTCCGCTGTTTGTTAGATATCGTTTTATCTTCCACAAAAAAGGAAATCGTTCCATGTAATAGACAGCTTTTCGTATGTATTTCAAAATAAAAGTCACTAAATTTTTTTCGCTGCTAAAAAAACATTTCTCAAATTTTTTTTTTTCAGTGAGACCACAGATATTTTAATGCTTTTTCCCTCCACATTTCCATGTCTAATTTTTTTTTTTTTACCAGTGTGACATTCCTCCTCCGGATTGTGACAATGGAGGATTTTTTGAAGTGCAACATGGGCTTTGTGTAATTTCGCAGATGACCACTAGAGGACGTACAGTGCACTTTTTATTACAACTGCATCAAACCGAATGTGTCTTTAGATACACTAAATGTGTGATTCTGTCACAGAGCAAAACACCACAAGCTTTTGTTTTGTTTTATCTTGCACTACTGATGTGGACCAATTCATGCACCTTCACAAAGATCCATAAAAGAGCCCACAGAAACATGACATTTAGCAATTCAAGATGGTTTATTGTAAGATCAGTTGTTCGTAAAATCATTCTTATGTCAGTTTTTTGCATTGAATGTATTTTATGAACTTGTATTTCATGTTTCCGAGGCTCAGTGACTCTCAGGTCATCCTGCTCTTTTCTACATCGTTAATGCTAGGTTTCCTCTCAAGTCAGATGGAAGGACGTCAGCGAGTCTTTGTTCAACATGATTCTACATCATTATAATGACTGAAAGTAGAGCAGCATGGTTTCCCTTCCCAGACCGTACTGACATGACTTTAACCTGCGCAGGTCCACGTTTCCGTCCACGTTCCTGTGAACTGAATGTACTTTCATAGCGAAGGAAGAAAACACAGGCTCATTCGAACACACTGACGTACTGTAGATAAGATAGGGCTTGATGGTGACTGACTACAAATAGTTTCTTTTCTACGTTTTTGTCGTTGATTGGTCTGTTTTGCACAGTGCTCTTGGCTGTCGTGTCTGAACTGCTTGTTTGAAACTGAAAATATTGCATTTTGAGAATCGAGAAGGCAAACATGGGAATGTTAATGATGACAATGTTTATTACAAATGGTAAAATGTATACCATAATGCAAAAAGGCAATTTACATTGTAATCTTGTGTACTGTATCACTAAATTAACCTTGTGAGAAATGTAAGTATTGCTATTTCCTTTTTAATTAAATCTGCCTTATGCAAAGGAATCGTGTTCTGCCGTCGCTTTCTTTTCATATAGATTTTTTTTATTATCCTATGATCCCGTTCACACACTGATGACTAATTTCTGCAATAATTAACAACTAAATCTAGCAAAACTAGTCTAGTTTCCTTTCCAGCTCCAAACCCAGAAATGTGAGTCCATTATGTAATAAAGATAAACCAGCTGTCGACAGTTAATAATTAACTTTTGTTTGGATTGTGAAGTTCTTAAATGAATGTATTTTTACTATTAATGTTATTACAAATTTATAAATACTGAATGACTTCTGCATAACAGAACAGAAGAACTCCAGTGTTGTTTGTTCTTAACATTTTTCAAGATAACATTTGTGTTACGTAGAAGAGAGTCATACAGAGAGAAAATTGAGTGAGAGCATGAGAAAATGACAAAATGTAGCTTTTTAGGTGAACTGGCCCTTTAAGTACCATTGACTCTTTGTTTGTTTGTTTACCATTTATTGTTCACTCTCAAGGACAAAAATATGATTTATGTACTATTTATTATGTGATTTTTTAAAATAATTTACTAAATACTTTTATTAAGTATACTAATATATTATGTATTATATATTCATATAATATAACACACACACACACATATATATATATATAATTTCTCAATTATTTTCATGACATTTTTCTCACGTATTCCATATTATACCCACATTTTAGTACTTAAATCCAATTACTTTACACTTTTTGCTTCCCTCTTTAAACTGGAGTAATGCATTCAGTGATTTTTTATTAACAGTATCAGAAGGTGGAAGACTGGTGTTAGCGTTGTTCTTGGAAAAAAAAGGAGGCTAGAGTTCATTTCATAAAGTTTTACGAGTATATAAAAGGTGCAAAGTAACTGGGTCAGTACCCTAAGGTACAGAAGCTAAAAGATAAATCTTTGTATTTTAATTACCCCTAAATGCTGCATATTAGTCCCTTAAAGGTATATTAGCATATTTCAAAAGGGTGTCACCCCAGTCTTTTTCTGAGAGTGTACGAAAAAAGTGGAAAAAATTCCACTATTTAATGCCATTATTCATCTTGAGCTTTTGTGTTTTCAGACCTGTTAGCACTCGTGCGTAAGAATCAGAACATGATGTTCACGGCCTCCATGTTCCTGTCAACCCCTGACACAGTTAGTAATTAAAGCAAATCATCCTCAGACAGGTGAAGGTTCAGCCATGGGAAAGGAGGGCGAATGTCAACACTTCTTTCAGTACTGCAGCAACAAAAGGTATTTAAGTCACTTATAAATGCGTGAACCTCACTGCATGGGATCACGTGCCTGTGTCTCAAATGCTGCACAATCTTTTCTCTTCACTTACTTTTCATCATAATTTTCTGCTCCATGTCTTTGAATCAACTGGTGGAGTTCATCACATTAACTAGCATCATGATCCACTAATGTTTTGATATATTGAAGTACAGGTATAAAAGTGTTGCACAACATTAAATTGCTTTCACTCTGGTCTGAACTGTTGAAACGGCTGTGTAATATAGTAATGAAGCATTACTCTTGACACGTTTGACCGTCAATATATCAGGCCAAATAAAGAGTGAAACTGAGCAGAGGTAACTTCCCCTCAGCCTGCTGAGAATGAAATATTTACAGTAGCTTTTATTGCCATTTACAGTTCCAACGGTTGCTTACTGTTTGTTTGAAGACCATGAACATCAGATCACTGCAAAATGATTAACATGACAGGCAAAATAGGAAAAATTGTTACATTTGTCATTATAGTTAAGAGTATTTGGTTTGTAAATATGTTAAATAATAAATAAGAATAAGAAACTTTTCTCGCAATTCTGAGTTTTTCTCACATTTTGGACATTTTTTACTTGCAATTCTGAAAAATAGTCAAAATTGCGAGATACAAACTCAGAATTACAAGATATAAATGCAGAATTGTGAGATATAAACTTGAAATTGCGAGAAACAAGTCAGAAATGTGAGATAAAAAGTCGGGAAAAAAAGTGAATTGCGAGATAACTCTGAATTCAGAGAAAAAAAGCTCATAATTGCAAGATGTAGACTCGGAATTGCAAGAAAAAAAGTAATTACCTCATAATTACCTTTTTATTTTTAGCATCCCCTGGCGGAATCAACTGTATTAATGGTTTTTAAGAATATGCGTTACACAAGCTGTCCACTTTGACATCTGTCTAGTTTGACTTGCTTCTATTATGTGACGGATGAGTTTGCATCGAAGTAGAGTTAGATTGCATGTACAACTTTTGTTGTACAGTTTCAAAAGGTACTGCAAGTGTTTTCTGCTAAGAAGGTGAATCATTTTTGAGAGCTTCTTTGATTGACAAGACGAAATGCTGCATTGCCTAATCAGGTCTGTGAAAGCAGGTCTGAAGTCACTCCAGGTGTGTGAGGTGAGAGATGCACTCATGAACTTTGTGCTAACAGAATTTGTGTGTGTGTAATTATATATAATATATAAAATTGAGAAATGAGTAGAAAGTAATTTGATTGTCTGATAGTTCGGTAGTCTGGTCGAACATTTCGTCACCCTGGAATTATAAGGTTCTATCTGCCATTTTTGTCAAAATTGATTTATTCACATATTCTTATTCTGTGACAACTTATTTACATTAGGTGAAATATATATATATTTTTTAAGTTGTGTACATTTTGGGACTGATGTATGAAAGAAACTTGTTCCCCATATCCCATATCACTATATGGAATGCAAAAACTTTGAAGCTCAATTTCCCGAAACGGCTCAGAATGCAGATAGAACCTGACGATTTGAATATGTAGCACATTATCACGGAATGTGACGTCAGCCTAATGTCAAATAGAATATGATAGCCTATTTATGTTTAATTCTGAAAATTATAATCTTAATACAAAAGGTGACATATTATGCCCCTTTTTACAATATGTAATATAAGTCTCTGGTGTCCCCAGAATGTGTCTGTGAAGTTTCAGCACAAAATACTCCACAGATCATTTATTATAGATTTTTCACGTTTCCTTGGTTGGTAGATGCACCAGGGACCTGATTATAGCACTTAAAACCTGGTAAAATCAGATTTTCATGATATGTCACCTTTAATACAAAATGTGCCAATTACATAATTAAACAACGAGAATCCAATTTAGAATTAAATTCAGTTCCAATTCAGATAAATACATGACATCAATTGCTCAAGGATGAATCTTAAGAGTGAGAGATGCATACCTGACAGCAGAGAGACACACAGCAGCATGTGAGAGTTCTAGTGCAGAGCTCCAGAGACTCACACACACTGTGTCTGGGTTTTCTGGTTACAGAATTCCAAAGTAGTGTTTTGCCACTTCGCTTATATACCCAGACCAGAACAAAGAAATCTTCAAATCAGTTGTAAAAACATAAAAGACCTTTTGGTTTGTTAGGGATGAAAGCAAATGTTATCAAAGATCTTTATTGGGGCATCTCCCACATCAGAAGAACAGGTTTTGTTTTCTTTATTCTTGCCTGTTCTGTTGATGCGAGAGTGAAACCACCTTCCAGTCGCACCTGAAGTATTTACAGTATATTGACCACACATGAAACAGCTTGAAACAATAGATTTGTGAAATTTGCATGACTGACTGAGACCTGAGGGGAAGGAGAGGGTGCGTGCATGGGGGGGAAGCGATGAGATTGGGCCAGCTGTAGATCCTCTCTCCAGATTAGTGAGTTTTATTGTTTGATTACGGGATAGGAATCTTGAATTCAGTTTTGGTCAAATCCATCCTTACATTTGGTTTCAATACTCATCCAAAAACACTGATGATTTGTGTGCATGTCTGATTAAATTCTTATAAAGTTTATAATACATACAAAATGAATAATAGAGCTCATAACAATTTGTACATTTTTGATTAGAGTAAAGATCTAATCTGAACACATCATAAAGTAGGCGAGAGGTTACGCAGGGTTTAAGTTTAATAAAGGTCACAGATCTCTGTGTGTCATAGTTCAGACGTGCTCATTGTGTGCTGATTATTGTCAGTTGTAGACAATATCACAACATTTAGTGCATATATAAACCAAAAAGCATGCAATAATATTGGTGCAAAGATTGTGTTGAACCTAAACTTCTGCTTTTAATGGCTTGTTGCATTATGTTGTATGTTATACATTCCTGTCCTGTTTTAGCATGCTAAAGAAGATTGCCGATTCATCACAGCATGACACATAAATGATGCTAATCGCACCAACCCTTTCTTCTCATGGATTTAAAAAAAAATCTTTAGGTTTGGGACCCTCCCTTACACAGCGGCTATAAATGTGTGAGTGCTTCAGTTGAGGAGAGTGCCTCAGAGAGAAAATGTCTGTTGTCGAGTCACTGCTGCAGTTTTCCAACACAGGTACATTACTGGGAGCTTTGCTGATGCTTCTGGTTTTGTATTTGCTTTCCTCTGGATCCAAATCTCAGAAAGAAGGGAAAGAGCCACCGGGACCCAAACCAGTGCCGCTGTTGGGGAACCTGCTGACCCTTGACCTCACGAGACCCTTTGACACCTTTTTTGAGGTGAGAACTTGACTTGAACACATTCAGACAGTAATAGTAGCCTAACATTTTGAGATTTGTTTGTGAATGTCTTTCTCTGCGTCCTCCAGCTCTCCAAAAGCTACGGGAACATATTCCAAGTGTTTTTGGGTCCCAAAAAAACTGTGATCTTAGTTGGATACAAAACCGTCAAAGAAGCTCTTGTGAATCATGCTGAAGAGTTCGGCGACAGGGATATTGCACCTAGTTTCAGGATAATGAACGACAAACATGGTAGGATGCTCATCCTTACATTTGGTTTCAATACTCATCCAAAAACACTGATGATTTGTGTGCATGTCTGATTAAATTCTTATAAAGTTTATAATACATACAAAATGAATAATAGAGCTCATAACAATTTGTACATTTTTGATTAGAGTAAAGATCTAATCTGAACACATCATAAAGTAGGCGAGAGGTTACGCAGGGTTTAAGTTTAATAAAGGTCACAGATCTCTGTGTGTCATAGTTCAGACGTGCTCATTGTGTGCTGATTATTGTCAGTTGTAGACAATATCACAACATTTAGTGCATATATAAACCAAAAAGCATGCAATAATATTGGTGCAAAGATTGTGTTGAACCTAAACTTCTGCTTTTAATGGCTTGTTGCATTATGTTGTATGTTATACATTCCTGTCCTGTTTTAGCATGCTAAAGAAGATTGCCGATTCATCACAGCATGACACATAAATGATGCTAATCGCACCAACCCTTTCTTCTCATGGATTTAAAAAAAAATCTTTAGGTTTGGGACCCTCCCTTACACAGCGGCTATAAATGTATTGAGTGCAAGAGCTCAGAAGCTCAGAGAGAAAATGTCTGTTGTCGAGTCACTGCTGCAGTTTTCCAGCACAGGTACATTACTGGGAGCTTTGCTGATGCTTCTGGTTTTGTATTTGCTTTCCTCTGGATCCAAATCTCAGAAAGAAGGGAAAGAGCCACCGGGACCCAAACCACTGCCGCTGTTGGGGAACCTGCTGACCCTTGACCTCACGAGACCCTTTGACACCTTTTTTGAGGTGAGAACTTGACTTGAACACATTCAGACAGTAATAGTAGCCTAACATTTTGAGATTTGTTTGTGAATGTCTTTCTCTGTGTCCTCCAGCTCTCCAAAACCTACGGGAACATATTCCAAGTGTTTTTGGGTCCCAAAAAAACTGTGATCTTAGTTGGATACAAAACCGTCAAAGAAGCTCTTGTGAATCATGCTGAAGAGTTCGGCGACAGGGATATTGCACCTAGTTTCAGGATAATGAACGACAAACATGGTAGGATGCTTCTTTTTTCTGCCTCAAATGAACGTGCAAACTGTAAATGTGTCACGATCCCTGTCTGTTTCTTGTGTCTCTGTGTCTTCATTGTAGCCTTGTTCCCCTCATGTTTCCCTGCTAATCTGTTCCCTTGTTTGTTGCCACGGACACTCATTGGACCACACCATCTGCTTGTTAGTTTCCATAGTTACTCATTAGTTCAGCTCAGTATATATACCCCTGTGTTTCAGCACTTGTTTGTTGTTTCCCTGTTGATGCTCCTGTATTGGATTTCTGGTCTAGCTCCTGCTCTTGCTCATTGTTCCTTTGTTAATTACCCGTGTTTGTTTTCTTGTTTTGTCAAAAACTACTTGCGTTTGGATCTGCCTCACCTCATCCCAGCATAACAAACTGCTAGGTATTTCATAAAACAAAGATGTTGCACAAGCTTTCAAATCTTCATGGCCTCTCTGAGTCAAAATTTACTCAAATGGGTTTAACTACATGAAATAAATTTGTCACAAATATGAAGTCGTTATAAGGATTCGTACAAAATTGGGTGGGAACCAGCCAATTTAACAATGAAAAACCAAAAATGCATTTAACTATCGGACTGTTAGCTTGAAATTGTGCATGTCTTAAGTGAGTATATGTAGGTAGAACTTTTTATTTCTTTTACATTTTTGTTTGCCAGTATGTCTGCGTAATCATTCTCTACTAGTGTTGCTGGGATTCTAAGATGGTTTTGTGTTGATCAGGGATCATCTTTTCCAATGGAGAGAACTGGAAAGAAATGCGACGCTTCGCTCTCAGCAACCTGCGGGACTTTGGGATGGGCAAGAGAGGAAGTGAAGAGAAAATCATAGAGGAAATTCAGTATCTGAAAGGAGAGTTTGATAAGTTTGAAGGTACAAGCCGAGACACACACATGCAAACATGCTCTTATGCTGCGTTCAAGTCCTCCTGCGACGTTCGTACTTATGAGTTGACAAGTCGTAATTACGACGTCAGGTGCGTTCAAGTCAGTTTAGTCGGCACAAGATGGCGGTGTACCTTCTTTTAATAAATGACAAGAAAATACTGGGATGGGCAAGAGAGGAAGTGAAGAGAAAATCATAGAGGAAATTCAGTATCTGAAAGGAGAGTTTGATAAGTTTGAAGGTACAAGCCGAGACACGCACATGCAATCATGCTCTTAGTTTATAAGATCCATTGAGAGACAGTTTGTTTTTTCCTCTTCACAGAGAAACCCTTCGACACGACACAGCCGGTGAACTACGCTGTGTCAAACATCATCTCATCTATCGTGTACGGCAGCAGATTTGAATACACAGACCCTCGATTCACTGAAATGGTCGACAGAGCAAATGAGAACGTTCACCTCACTGGAACGACTTCTATGATGGTATGTATGCTTTATATGCTGACATTGGTCTATAGTTTGTCAACTACCGACAGGCATTACAAAATCTATTAATGGACATGTGGACATGTTTTGTAGTGTTGGATGAAGTACTCAAATCAAGTACATGAGTAAAAATACAGATTACCCTTAAAAAAAATAACTCCACTAAAATAAGTCAATAAGATTTGTGCAGACTTTTATTATGTACTGATCTGCAAATAAGCAAAAAAATTATTTCATTACCAAAACATGTCATACACCATTACTACTCTTGAAACTACAATATCAATTTAAATGTACTAATAATTAAAGTGTACAATAAATAGCTAAATATACCCCATTATTTTAAAAATAAGGAAAAACAAATTGTGTGTAAATATGTGATGACAAATAGTATAAAAATACAATGCACAAACATCACACTAGGCAAGAGGAACGCTATGCAAACATACTAGTTTTATAGAATTTGAAACTACTGCAGCTGGGAAGATGCATGCATTAATTTGCAAAGATTTATAGTTTTTACCTACAGTAGTCCATTACAAACAGTCAGTGACACACAAATGCCAGATAATGGGCTTAAACAACTCATCCTTTTACAGCTGATTTAGTTCACAAATAATGACCTAAATATGATTTTCATTTACAATAATTAATGCAAAAATTTGCCATTAGTAACATACTTTTCACGCCATCAGTCACATGTGCGCACTCAAGCTCCAAGAATATCCAAGTTCTTGCCTCATTCAGACATGAAACAGTTCAGTGAAATGTTTACTGGATTGCTTTGAACGGATCACTGAATCAAAAGGTGATTGACTTGAGAACAGCTGCAAGTGGATCAGTCTGATTAGTGAATGAATTGGAAATTGCGAGCAGAAAAGAATAAGCTTATACATGAAGACATCGCTTCTCAGAGCGGGTCTTGATTTCTTCAGCTTCAAATAACAAGAAACAATATGTTTTGATGAAATGTAGTGTGATTAAAAAAAGTACAATATTTAAAGTATGATTATACTATGGAATGTAGTAAATGAAAAAAGTGCATCTCTGGAGAACATGTCACCTAGTCTTTCTTGTGTCTCTGAATGTGCATTTCTAGATTTATAATATATTTCCGTGGTTGGGTCCAATCCTAAAAAACAAAAGGATTATTGTAAACAATATTGTGCAAAGTAGACAACATATGATGAAGTTGATCAATGGACTTCTGGAGACTCTGAATCCACAAGACCGCAGAGGATTTGTCGACTCGTTTCTCATCCGCAAACAGAACGACGAGGTATGTCATTTTTTGCCTTCAACATTTTCGATGATCCCCTTTACTGTAATAATCGGAAATTCAGTTGGTGTATAAATATGCATTTGGTCGATTGAATTTGACAGCAATCAGGCAAGAAGGACTCATAATTTCATGAGGAGAATCTTATGATGTCTGTGACAAATCTGTTTGTCGCTGGCACTCCTTGATGAGAAGGGCCAGTTCATCAAGAGAGATGCTTTCATGCCCTTTTCTGCAGGTCAGTGAAACTTCAGCACAAGGCCGTAACCATGTCCACATTGGGGGGGGTCAAAGCAATACTTGATAGTAATGGTCTTTTTATTTAAAGGAATGTAAGAAAAAGAAAGAAAACCAGTAAAAGAACTGAAGTTTATTATAAAGTAATGCTTTGGAACTTCTTGCAAATAATATTTTTATTTTTTAAAATATGCACACATTCACTCTTAATGCTGGAATATAGCCTACTATACAACTTTTGAATAATTGAATTTTTATGTCTTAATGCTGACTTTTTATGGCATAATAATTACTTTTGTCATAATTATGATTGACCAAAGCATTATGTGATTTTTTTTATGTGAAATGGCCTTCCATACATGTAAAATCTATACACAAAAAAAAAAACTGTTAAGAAAAAAAGTTAAAATTTACCTTTAAAATCAGCCATTCAAACATAATTTATCACAGGCTCTGGCTCTGACTTTCAGCAACTCGCACCAACTTCTGCATATTGGGAATGCTAGTCTCATCACATTAATTTACGAAATACATGAATCACTTAAAAGATGTATATTTGCTATTCAAAACAGCCTAATTGAACAAAAAGGTCTAGAAGTTTGAATCACTGGATATTACTGTCGATTGTTTAACATTACTATGAAAGTCGTCAAATATTAACAAATATTTTAGTTGCTTATGTTTCTTTTTCGCTGTTAAAAGAGTTTGCGCTCGTCAAACCCGCCTTCTTTTATTTGATTGGCTACCTCAATCATTTTGACATTAGGTGTGTTCAATTTCATACAGACCGATCGGCGAGAGTTGTCGCTTGCAGTCGGGTAGCGGAATTGAAAGCCGAGACGTAAAGTCTGACACTTTTCTCGTATAGACTCTCACGCGGTGTTTGCATACTATATCACAGATGAAGTGAATTAAACGCAATTTTTGTCAAATACACAGACGTTTCAGAGATGTTTTCATGAAACAACAGAAACACTTTTCATGTACTGCTTAATACAGTGCTATCTGTACAAGAATAAAGTTCAACATAAGCCTTTACTATTCAAATAAAGTGGGTCTTATGTACACTTTTATCATTGTTTTTTGATTAACATGACTCAATATAACATTTGCGACTACAGTAAAAGAGCTTTTACTGTTATAAAAACACAGATTTGTGAGCATTAGTGGAACTGAAGGTGTCAGAATAAACACGAAACACGATTGTTGTCGTGTGGTGAATTCAGCCAATCGTGAAACAGCTTTCGTCATCAGAGCTCCTGCAGCCGCTCTGGAGAAGCTCTCGAATCGCTCTTGCGGTACGTCACAGTGACGTAGCGTCGCCGCTGTCTCAGTTCAGACAAAATCTCTAACCAGCATGCACTGCTTCAAGTCAGCCACTGATCAGTCTTCGCAGCGCTGCATAAAGTTGAACATACTGTACCTATTGATGAGCTGAGGCAGACCAACCAATAGAGCAGCAGCCCTCCAGCTCCCATTGGCTCTGTTCCGAAACCTATTGTGCTGCCTACCTAGACAACAGTTTAAACAGACAATTCAACAGCCTCTCTCTCTTTCTCAGGACGCAGGATGTGTCTTGGAGAGGGTTTGGCCAGGATGGAGCTCTTCCTGTTCTTCACCTCCCTCCTTCAGAGCTACTGCTTCACGACTCCACCTGGAGTTTCTGGAGATGAGCTGGATCTCAAAGGAGTAGTCGGAGTCACGTTGAATCCATCGCCACACAAGCTGTGTGCGATCAGACGCTCCTGATAGAAGAAAATAAAATCAGAAAACACAGAAACAAAACATCTCACCTCGTTGTAGCATGATTTGGGTGTTTTTTTTTTTTTTCCTTTTACAGTATTTGCTCTTTTGAGTAAATGTATACAGTGCAGTGGCGGCTTGTCGGGGCAGGCAGGGGAGGTTTCCCCAAAATTTTGAGGTGAAAATGAGGACGATTTAATGTTAATAAAATACACAATTCATTTCAGTTCATGTCTCAGAATGTGTATTTTTTGTTTGTAATTTCAGTTGTAATGCCATAACGTGAAAGTGCTGCTTTTCTATCACGAATGTGCCGAATACACACATATACACATACAAACACACACACACATACACACACACAACATGTCTCAGAATGTGTATTTTTTGTTTGTAATTTCACAGTTGTAATGCCATAACGTGAAAGTGCTGCTTTTCTATCACGAATGTGCCGAATACACACATATACACATACAAACACACACTTCTCCAGGCCAATTACTGAAATCAGACACAGGTGTTCATCATTTTGCACTTAACCTACTTACTCACCGCTCGTCTTCCGCCCCTCTCTGCAGACTTCGCTGAACCACGCCCAGTCAGTGAAAGTGATTTTGTGCCTCTTTGAGATGGTACAATAATGCATCTTTCACTTGCAGAACGCAAGCTTCTAGAGGGCACATAACTCGTAATGAATTTAGTTAAAAGGGTGCAGAGCCAGTGGTGGTTTTGTAGGCAAACATTAATGCCTTGAATTTTATGCGAGAAGCTACTGGTAGCCAGTGCAAATTGATGAACAGAGGTGTGACGTGCATTCTTTTCGGCTCATTAAAGATTAATCTTGCAGCGGCATTTTGGATTAATTTTAGAGGTTTGATAGAAGTGGCTGGAAGACCTGCCAAGAGAGCATTGCAATAGTCCAGCCTGGACAGAACAAGAGCTTGAACAAGGAGTTGTGAAGCATGTTCTGAAAGAAAGGGCCTGATCTTCTTGATGTTGAATAAAGCAAATCTGCAGGACCGGGCAGTTTTAACAATGTGGTCTGAGAAATTCAGCTTATCATCAATCACAACTCAATGATTTCTAGCTGTTTTTGAAGGAGTTATGGTTGATGAACATAACTGGATGGTGAAATTGTGATGAAACGATGGGTTTGTAGTAAGAATTGGTTATAAAAACTGAAAACAGAAGGGAAACAAGTAGTAAGAAAAGAGAATGATTCAAAAGCGATACTTATGTCCCTTGCCGGTGTCCCTGCTTGGTGGAGTCGAACGGTAGAGTCGATGGTCTTTACACTCTTCGGTCTTCACAGGAGGAGAGCTTCACACGAGGGCTGCCGTGACCGCTGCCGCGGTATACTAAGCTTTTTATATTCGTCTAACAAAACTCAAATACTTCATCAAGAAGGTCAGTCAGAAGAATAAACACATATAAAGCCTAGAGAAGATATCATGTACATCTTGAACATCAAGATTTTGGTCTTTTTTTCTCAATTTTCTAGGGCACCACTGTAGTTCCTCTGCTGATGTCTGTTTTGAAGGATCCAAGCGAATGGGAAAAACCAAACAGCTTTTACCCAGAACACTTCCTTGATGAGAAGGGCCAATTCGTCAAGAGAGATGCTTTCGTTCCCTTTTCTGCAGGTCAGTGAAACTTCAGCTCAAGGCTGTAACCATGTCTACATTGGGGGGGTCAAAGCAATTTTAGATAGTAAAGGAAGGTCTTTTTAATTTTAAAGAATTAAATGGTTAAATAATTTAAAGGGAGTTAAGAGAATAAAGAATAGAATTTATTATGAAGTAATGCATTTGAACTATTTGCAAATTTTATTTTAATATATGCACACATTCACTCCTAAGGCTGGAATATAACTTTAAAAACAACTTTTATGCCATGATTTACTTTTTATGTCTTAATGCAAATTTTTTAATGACATTTTAATGTTGTAACTATGAATATTTGTCAGTATTTTGACTTTTTATCTCATCATTTCAACTTTTTTGTCATAATTTTGATTTTCATGTCATTAAGATTAACCAGGCATTTTTTTTCATAATTAGGCCTATTAACAGAAAGAAAAAAAAATAATAATAGAATGAATTACTAATGTATGTAAACTACAACTAAACTAAACTAAAATAAAATAAGGGATTAGAAAGGTTTACAGAAGCAAAATATACATCTAATAATATAATACAGTAATATGGCATAATATAGGCTAATCTGCATGTGCTGGAAACATCAGATCAGGGCAGATTGAGTGTTTTCTTTTCTATCGTCAGTGTTGGGGAAAGTTACTTTTAAAAGTAATGCATTACAATATTGCGTTACTTCCTAAAAAAGTAACTAATTACGTTACTTAGTTACTTTTTATTGAAAGTAATGTGTTATGTTACTTTTGCGTTACTTTTTAAATCTGGGCTGGACTTGCTCGTTTGCTTTTAATATAAAAAGTTTTATTTTTGGCAAATGTAAAAGCCCTTTCACACCAAAAGCCTCAGGCTGAAGGAAATGTAAATTCACATCTGTACAGTATACACAGAAGAAGAAAGTTCAACACTCTTCAGAAATAAAAAAAGAAGAAATGTTAGTTTATCTTGTGTAATTTGTGCTTATTAGTATGGTTGAATTGGATCACCGAAGGTCAGCAGTAAATTAGTTAATAAAACGGGATTAAATACATAAAGGATATTTGTATTATTTAACGTGCTTCTCAGTTTCTCATCTGACACTGTGTACAGATACTCTGCCATACTGTACTCTCTCTTTAGGGCCAAATAGCATTGCATTTTACTCTGTTGTTGTGTTTGTGTTTGCCAATGAGTGATTTAATTCTGTTTGGTTTGTGCAGTAATCTGATTGATTCTGATGTTGTTAGTGTTGTTACTCTCTCTCTCTCTCTCTGTCTGTCTCTCAGGCCGCAGGGTTTGTCTTGGAGAGGGTTTGGCCAGGATGGAGCTCTTCCTGTTCTTCACTTCTCTCCTTCAGAGCTACCGCTTCACGACTCCACCTGGAGTGTCTGCCCCATTCTGAAAGTGCATTTCTGGACAACATCAGTTTCTCTTCTGTCCATTTCTAGCTTTACAACACATTTCCATGGTTGGGTCCATTCCTGAAAAACAAAAAGATTATTATACACAATATGCTGCAAAATAGACAACAGATGACGAATCTGATCAATGGGCTTCTTGAGACTCTGAATCCACACGACCGCAGAGGGTTTGTCGACTCCTTTCTCATCCGCAAACAGAGCGAAGAGGTACAGGTACCATGTGGCATAGAAATACAGGAGGATGTAGAAAGCGATCAGCAGCTTTGATAATTGAACTGAATCATATACAAGTTTAGTTGAGAATTTTGAATGAATTATAATCAATTAAGTACTTTGTAATTTATTTTTCCTCATTATTTTAGTAAAAAGGATAATTTTGTGCTTTTGTGGGTTTGTGCTTGCCAGCAATTGGGCAAGAGGGAATATTTTCACCAGGAGAATCTCCTCATGACGGTGGGAAATCTCTTTGTCGCTGGTACTGACACCACAGGAACGACTCTGCGCTGGGGTCTGATGCTTATGGCTAAATACCCTCATATACAGGGTAAAAACACAGTAATATGAAGAGTATTTCCTCAATGCTGAATTTAATAGTCCAAAGGAACAAAAAATGTTTGCATTTGTGTGCAGATCGAGTTCAGGAGGAGATTGACAGAGTGATCGGTGGACGTCAGCCAGTGGTGGAAGACAGAAAGAAATTACCATACACAGATGCTGTGATTCATGAAACTCAAAGACTGGCCAACATAGTACCTTTGAGTCTACCACATATAACCAGCTGCGATGTTACCTTCAATGGATACTTCATCAAGAAGGTCAGTCAGAGGAATTAATATGTATAAGGCCTAGTAAAGATACCATGTGCATCTTGAACATCAAAGTTTTGGTCTTTTCTCTTCATTTTCTAGGGCACCACTGTAGTTCCTCTGCTGACGTCTGTTTTGAAGGATCCAAGCGAATGGGAGAAACCAAACAGCTTTTACCCAGAACACTTCCTTGATGAGAAGGGCCAGTTCATCAAGAGAGATGCTTTCATGCCCTTTTCTGCAGGTACGTTCAAATCTAAACACCCAGTGATTTGAAGAAATAAACATTTGAATTGTAATTAAACACATTTTTTCTTCTCTCAGGCCGCAGGGTTTGTCTTGGAGAGAGTTTGGCCAGGATGGAGCTCTTCCTGTTCTTCACTTCTCTCCTTCAGAGCTACCGCTTCACGACTCCACCTGGAGTGTCTGGAGATGAGCTGGATCTCAAAGGAATAGTAGGAATAACGTTGAATCCGTCTCCACACAAGCTGTGTGCGATCAGACGCTCCTGAATGAAGAAAATATCAGAAAACACAAACAATACTCACCTCTATGTAGTATGATCTGGGTGATTTTTGCACTTGTTTTACGGTAACTTGCCTATTCTTCTGAGGAAATGTATGTAAATAATAAGCGATGTGTGTGAAGCCACGTTTTGTGGAACAATTTGAGGCTAGCCGCTAGATTATAAATCAATGAAGAATGTTGTTACTGATTGTTTAGAGAAATAAAAACTTATTCTAATTTGTAGGCTATTTAAATAATGCCAAATAGCAACCTTCCCCCGCGCCTATTGGCTTTCACAGAGCATGCGCATAAAGCGCCGTCAAATTTTTTCATAATTTTGACTTTTTAAAGCATTTTTTCTTACGTAGTGTAAAAGTGATTCTACTAAAATATATATATTTTTCTTTCTTAAAATGTAGCTTTATAACAGACAGTCTGTAAGCAACCTAAGACTAACAATTACCTTTTATTGAAAAATTTAGCATACTATAGACGTCTCTGCTGATAATTAGAACATGTTTATGTTTGCTTTATTTGACATCTATCCATAAATTCATTCACTATTGTTGTGGTGTAAATAGTTTTTTTTTTTTTTTTTAAACTCGCGTGTTTTAACTCACAAATAAAATGTTTTTTAAGGCAACATTGCTTTTTTTGTTGGCGGTGATGAATGGCCCCTTATTGGGTGACTTTTGTTCATGGTTTTTAAGAATGAGTGTCACACAACCTGTCCAGGTTGACATATTTTGACTCACTCTTATTAACGTATATGTTAATCATCACCCTCATAACAGATCTGTAACCCATTTTTGAGAGCTGATTTGATTGACAGGGCCACTTAGTGTGAGGACACATTACACCCTAAAGCCTCTGATGAAATGTTATATTGCCTAATCAGGTCTGTGAAAGCAGGTCTGTAGTCACTCCAGGTTAAAGAGTGACAAAGGTGAGAGATGCACTCATGAACATTGTGTCTCCTGGGCAAGATTAATAGATCACAACACACCAATAGTTCAGTGTGAGTTTCGCAGATAATGAAGAGTTGAATGGAATCATATCGTGTTAACTGACATTAAGTTATACAATGCTAAGCTTATTATTTAAATGTAAATATATATCAAAATATTTAAAACAGTGTTTCATTAAACATTGTACAATGCCGTTTTATTTAATGTTATTTGTCACTGTTATTTTAAGGTATTGTTTGGCTTCAAATGGCCTGGCATTTCGCACACATACAGTTTATGAATCACTTTTATGATACTTTTATGATGCTTCTGTGTCCTTATTCTCTTTCTCATGTGCTGTGACAGATTCTGTTCAAAACAGATTCAGATTGGTTTCTGCTCAGTTCCTGTACAACAACCACCGATCACGAACCACATCCAGCCTTAAATCTCCAGTTTTAATAATGTTTAAATGTGTGCAAATGTTCTCCATTTACAATGTGGGTTTCTGATCAATCTAAACAAAGTAATAAAGGCTCATAATAGCAATTTAAAGTCAAACATATCTTGATTGGTGTCAAGATTGGTGTTGCTCATCCAAGCACAAAATAAGATGGCGGTAGGCAAGAGATTATGCTGGTTTGTCGTTTGATTTTTGATAGGTCACAATATCTCTGTGGGTCACAGTTCAGATTGCTCATTATTTGCTGTCAAATAAACACATTATCACAATATTAGTCAATATATAAACCAAAAATCATGTTTTAATCGTGTAATACTTAAAGAAATAATTAAGTGTAATAATATAGGTCTGTGATTGTGTTAAACCTGACTTATTGTTTGATTAATGTTTCTGTCTCGGTTTAACAGGCTGAAGAAGATTAATGATTCACCAAAGGGAGTCACATACATGCTGATGTAATCACACCAACCCTTTCCTCTAATGGACTTTTTTATTTGGGATCACACAAGGTCCCTCCCTTACACAGCGGCTATAAATGTATTGAGTGCAAGAGCTCAGAAGCTCAGAGAGAAAATGTCTGTTGTCGAGTCACTGCTGCAGTTTTCCAGCACAGGTACATTACTGGGAGCTTTGCTGATGCTTCTGGTTTTGTATTTGCTTTCCTCTGGATCCAAATCTCAGAAAGAAGGGAAAGAGCCACCGGGACCCAAACCAGTGCCGCTGTTGGGGAACCTGCTGACCCTTGACCTCACGAGACCCTTTGACACCTTTTTTGAGGTGAGAACTTGACTTGAACACATTCAGACAGTAATAGTAGCCTAACATTTTGAGATTTGTTTGTGAATGTCTTTCTCTGCGTCCTCCAGCTCTCCAAAACCTACGGGAACATATTCCAAGTGTTTTTGGGTCCCAAAAAAACTGTGGTCTTAGTTGGATACAAAACTGTCAAAGAAGCTCTTGTGAATCATGCTGAAGAGTTCAGCGACAGGGATATTCCACCTAGTTTCAGGATAATGAACGACAAACATGGTAGGATGCTTCTTTTTTCTGCCTCAAATGAACGTGCAAACTGTAAATGCTAGACATTTCGCAAGACAAACATGTTGCACAAGCTTTCAGATCTTCATGGCCTCTCCAGGCTAATGAAATGTACTCAAATGTGTATGACTACTGAAAGGAATTAGATTTTCAGTGAAATTGCCATAATATGAGCTCATCTTAAGGATGAATACACAATTTGGTGGGAACCAGCCAATGTAACAATGAAAAACCTAAAAATGCTATTATTACGGGACTGTTTGCTTGAAAGTGAATGCTGTCTTTAATCAAGAAATATAAATGTGTTCCCATCAATAATTAGTGAAAATTTTTTTTTTTTTTACATATTTAAAGTAATATAAATTGATTTGCACAGATCTTCATGGCCTCTCCAGGCTAATGAAATGTACTCAAATGTGTATGACTACTGAAAGGAATTAGATTTTCAGTGAAATTGCCATAATATGAGCTCATCTTAAGGATGAATACACAATTTGGTGGGAACCAGCCAATGTAACAATGAAAAACCTAAAAATGCTATTATTACGGGACTGTTTGCTTGAACGTGAATGCTGTCTTTAATCAAGAAATATAAATGTGTTCCCATCAATAATTAGTGAAATTTTTTTTTTTTTTTTACATATTTAAAGTAATATAAATTGATTTGCAAATAGATTATTCATTTATTAGCCTGCCATACAATGCTTTTGTATATGTATATGGTACACTGTATATGTCATAAAGGTGCAAGGATAGTGAACTCATTGCATTATCATTCTCTACTAGTGTTGCTGCAGACTCATAGTCTGATGGTTTTGTGTTGATCAGGGATCATCTTTTCCAATGGAGAGAACTGGAAAGAAATGCGACGCTTCGCTCTCAGCAACCTGCGGGACTTTGGGATGGGCAAGAGAGGAAGTGAAGAGAAAATCATAGAGGAAATTCAGTATCTGAAAGGAGAGTTTGATAAGTTTGAAGGTACAAGCTGAGACACACACATGCAATCATGCTCTTAGTTCATAAGATCCATTGAGAGACGGTTTGTTGTTTCCTCTTCACAGAGAAACCCTTCGACACGACACAGCCTGTGAACTACGCTGTGTCAAACATCATCTCATCTATCGTGTACGGCAGCAGATTTGAATACACAGACCCTCAATTCACTGAAATGGTCGACAGAGCAAATGAAAATGTTCGGATTGGTGGATCAATTTCTATATGGGTGAGTATAATCAATATGTTAACCAGAAACTGTATTTTGTCCACAGATACTACAAAATGTGACCCTGGACCACAAAACCAGTCATAAGGGTCAATTTTTCATCTTTCTATATACATCATTTCCTCATCAGCTTTCCATTGATGTATGGTTTGTTAGGACAATATTTAGCCGAGATACAACTATTTAAAAATCTGGAATCTGAGGGTGCAAAAAAAAAAAAAATACTGAGAAAATCACCTTTAAAGTTGTCCAAATGAAGTTCTTAGCAATGCATGTTGCGAATCAATAATTAAGTTTTGATATATTTATGTTAGGAAAGTTACAAAATATCTTCATGGAACATGATCTTTACTTAATATCCTAATGATTTTTGGCATAAATTAAAAATCGATAATTTTGAGCCATACAATGTATTTTTTGGCTATTGCTAAAAATATACCCAAGCGACTTACGACTGGTTTTGTGCTCCAGGGTCACAAATCTATTATTTACAAGGCGCCCATTTTGTACAATGAACCCAAATCTATCACAGAAACTTTTGAAAGTGCATCTCTGGATAACAATCTCTTTTGTCTCCTATTGTCCATTTCTAGCTTTACAACACATTTCCGTGGTTGGGTCCATTACTGAAGAGCAAAAGGATTATTGTAAAAAATATTATCCAAAATAGAGAACAGATGATGAAGTTGATCAAGGCACTTCAGGAGACTCTGAATCCACACGACCGCAGAGGATTTGTCGACTCGTTTCTCATCCGCAAACAAAACGATGTGGTGTGTAATTTTTCAATGATCCCCTTTACTGTAATGATCGGAATATTCAGGTGGCAGATGAAAATTAGCAGTTTTCACAAGATCTGAAAAGGTCTTCTTTCATTTTGGGTTTCGCTGAGTTTATTCAATCAAGCACTTGTCATTTTGAATGAGTCTTTTTTAGCTTATTATGGTGGTAAAGGGAATAAATATTCATTTTGTGGATTGCATTTGACAGATATCCGGCAAGAAGGACTCATATTTTCATGAGGAGAATCTTATGATGTCTGTGACAAATCTGTTTATCGCTGGTACCGACACCACAGGAACGACTCTGCGCTGGGGTCTGATGCTTATGGCTAAATACCCTCATATACAGGGTAAAAACACAGTAATATGAAGAGTATTTCCTCAATGCTGAATTTAATAGTCCAAAGGAACAAAAAATGTTTTCATTTGTGTGCAGATCGAGTTCAGGAGGAGATTGACAGAGTGATCGGTGGACGTCAGCCAGTGGTGGAAGACAGAAAGAAATTACCTTATACAGATGCTGTGATTCATGAAACCCAGAGACTGGCAAACATAGTGCCCATGAATCTCCCTCATATGACCAGCTGTGACGTTACCTTCAATGGATACTTCATCAAGAAGGTCAGTCAGAAGAATAAATACATATAAAGCCAAGAGAAGATACCATGTGCATCTTGAACATCAAAGTTTTGGTCTTTTCTCTTCATTTTCTAGGGCACCACTGTAGTTCCTCTGCTGACGTCTGTTTTGAAGGATCCAAGCGAATGGGCAAAACCGAACAGCTTTTACCCAGAACACTTCCTTGATGAGAAGGGCCAATTCGTCAAGAGAGATGCTTTCGTTCCCTTTTCTGCAGGTCAGTGAAACTTCAGCATAAGATATAAAAGCTAAAGAAAATAAATGTGGCTGTGCCCATCATACACTACCAACCAGCTGTCCAAATACATAACCAACTGTCCAAAATCTGCAGACTGGCTCTGACTTTCAGCAACTAGTGCTGACTTCTCCAGACTACAAATCTGGCCAAATGTTTATTCCGGCTCTGCAAAATTTTGCAGGTGAAATCCAGTCATTTCAATAGGTATCCACATGATTTTCTATGAGTTTCACATAAGGGCGGAAAAAATTCTCCATGCAGACTTCGCTCACGTTCAAGTTCACACAAATTTGCTGCGCTGACCAACAGAAATCTGCTTGGTTTTAAAGTGATTTCTGTGTAAGCAGTTCTTCACACATTGCTACATTACTGACAATAGCTGTGTCCCAAATGACACACTGTACACTACTTTTGCACTATGTACTCAACCGTGTAGTGTATGGATTATATAAGGTTATTTTGTCATTTATAATCGGAGTCTGATAGCTCCTCCTCCTCTGTTTCATAATTAAAGTTGCAACAGTTGAGTGCATGAAGTGTCCAACATTCCACACTTAGTTTTTCAGTTATTTAAGTGCATATCCTCCAGATATTTAACATGCACTTTTTCTTTTTGGAATTTTCAGTGCGAACGCAATACTCACACTATTTATACTACAAAATGCCATAGAATAAGTACGCAAATTGGGGACCTATAGGACCTTTTTTGCCAACAAAATTTGGCTAATATGACGGCACCTTTAATCGTAGCCAATGCTAAATATGTCGAAAACGGCTCTTATTGGAGAGACTTTTGGACTGTTAGGTTCTGATCAGGTAATGGATGAGTAATGGATGGGTGCCGGTCAGAACACCAATAATGAGCTTTAGATTGTGTATTGGTAGAGAAAAGCAGGGCCACAGATGTACAGTTAAATGTGTAGATAGTCTGAAAAATAAGTACAATAAAGATAATAAACTAAAGAGAGAATAAAAGTTACGTCTTCTTTCTTTGCGTGAACATTTGGGGGCTTTATGCAAATCTTCCCACATAGTGAGGTAGGTATGTGGGGGCGTGTTCGAACGAGCCGTTTTAGGTAGGTGTGGCTAACTCTTAACTTTTATAAAGAATATCTCTTTGGATTTGAGACTTTAGTCTTTGCAACTTTACAGATCTTCTTTATGCACCAAGAGCTTGTAACACTCTAAAGAGAAAGGAAAAAATGAAATCGCATCATATGACCCCTTTAAGTAATATTACCGAGCTGGATAATACAGAACAATCGTTACAGGACATGTCTGGGCATGTTCGTATGGTACACATATAACGCTGTTGCGATGACACAAATATAAATAAAATCAGCTTACTTTGTGGTCAGTGACTAACACCTTCTCTAAATCTGCAGCAATCACCACAAACAAACTAAAAATTAACATCATTTCAGCCAGGGGCTCGAACAGATCACACAGACACAGTGAATAGCGGCTGCTCAGCAAACTACGCTGCCCCAGAAATTGTCTTACTATAGGGAAGAGAGGGTCTGTATTACCAAAGACTATAGAATACCCAAGACGTGTCACTAGTATAGTTTTGAATGGGGGAAAATGCAACGCACAATATGGCCGCTCAATCGCAGGAAGCCCCGCCTTCTGAATGAAAGAGCCAATCGCTAATCGGTAAAGTCAGAGTGTCAGAAGCCCCGGTTGCTATAGAAGTTTTGGAGAATTTGATGTTTCCCCATTCAAAGAGATAGGAGTTGCACTTGCATGCCCGAGAGGCGTTTCAAAGATGGCCGCCAAGTGACATGACTTGTCTTAAAAGGACTTTGGTATTACTTACTATTGGAGAAAGCGTAATGGTCAACTTGGATCACGTGTGCCTTAATAACCAATCACATTACAGCCTTGACGTCACTGAATTACAGTCAGAGTTGTGCTACACTCAATCGCCGTTTACAGATACTATAGGAATGAATGAGAAATGCCATAAGCTGTATCCCACCTGTCGCAAAATGTCAGTGACTTCTCTTATAAAACGGCATTTTTTTTGGTCTAAACTCTAAAAATAGTTTAATCCAAAAGTATTGCTTATATTACTACGATTCCTGTTTCATAATAAAGGTCCCTTTTTTAGGAGCCTTTAATACAGCTCCGTTAATATTTCTTGTCACATTCACTTATGAATTACATGAATCATTACATTTAATTAAAAGATAGACTATATTTTCGATTCAAAACGGTATACTTGGACAAAAAAGTCGAGTAGTTTGTATCACTTTATATTGTACAATATGAAGTGATGAAACTACTCGTCTTTCTGTCGCAAAATAGTTGTCAAATGATTATCTACTTAGGCTACGTCTCTTTTTCACCTTATGCGTCGCGCTGGAGTTCACCCTCGGCTTCTGTGAAGAGTGAAGCCCCAGCTTCTTTGATTTGTTTGGCTACTTAAATCATTTTGACATTGACGACCGCTGAGGCGTTTTGTTTTTGTTACAGAGCGCCATGCAGCTCCCATTAGCTGTGTTCCACAACCTGTGCTGCCTAAATAGACAGCATTTCAAACCCAACAGACCATTCAACTGCCCTCTCTCTCACACAGGACGCAGAGTTTGTCTTGGAGAGAGTTTGGCCAGGATGGAGCTCTTCCTGTTCTTCACTTCCCTCCTTCAGAGCTACCGCTTCACGACTCCACCTGGAGTGTCTGGAGATGAGCTGGATCTCAAAGGAATAGTAGGAATAACGTTGAATCCGTCTCCACACAAGCTGTGTGCGATCAGACGCTCCTGAATGAAGAAAATATCAGCAGTCCTTTAAAAAAAAGAAAAGAAAAGAAAAAGAAACCAAACATCTCAGTTTGTTTCAGTATGAGTTGGAAGATTTCTGCACATCAGAGTAAATGTATATATGTAAATAATATAAGCAAAAGTGTGAAACCATGGTTGCAACCACTTCTGAATTTTTGTAAAACTCCTCAGATAAATTAAAGGTTGATATGTCAATAGGAACAACATTTTGAGGCTATTTCCTAGATTATAATTCATTGAATGTTGTTACTGTTTGTTTTGGGAAATAAAAACCTGTTATAATTTGGATCTAGATTGAGCGCAAAAGCGACCACTCGCGAAGCGCTCTTTCACAGATATTATTATGACTTATGTCATTATTATGAATAATTTCGACTTTTTATGCCATAATTATGACTTTTATACAGTCAGCAAGCAGCTTTTTAGAATAAACAAAACAGAATTTTATGAAAGAATAACAAATTATTTACTTTTTTGAAATATTATCTTGCTGGACCTCTTTGTTGATAATTGTTTGCATTATTTGACATCTGTCCATTAATTTATTCACTGTTGTTGTAGTGTAAATTGTAGTTTGCTGCTTTATCCTCACATTATGGAATTTTAAAACTCACGCATTTCACTTCACAAATAAATTATGATTTTTGGCAAACATTGTTTTTGTTGTTGGCTATATGAATTAAAGGGTTACACTGGGATGGAAAATCTCGCGGGAGCGGCGGGAATGGGCTGTCAAAAAAATGTAGGGTCCCGCCATCCTGAGTACCTCCATCATTATTGGCCCCATACCAAGAATGATGGAGTACACATAAACAGATGTTTGTCGTACACCGATTACATTAGCCACCGCGGCACTGCCCCTACTGTCATTTTTCTTTTTTATAGAAATAGAAATCAGTTCAGCTGCAAAACATAGGCTACCCTACACTAAACTGAAAGCGTCTGCTCTGCTCATACAGCCATGTTTGCCAGGTCTGCGTGACAAAACTAGCCCATGCCAGTCAAAAACAGCCCAAAGTAGCGCATTGACCATATCCCAAATATCAAAACTCTAAATAGCCGTTGTCATTTCCATACCTAAAATACATATTTTACCATCACAGATATGTACATTGATCATAACACAGCTCAAAGGCTTCCTATAGTGGCCCTCCTTCACAAAACTTCACATCTAGTAGTTTAATCATGCGTATAATGCAAAATGTTTCAATACAGTCAAATGTAATTTATGCAATATTTCAAACCTTTAACCTTTAATCAACCAACAGTTGGCAACTGTTTAAAAGCAGCCCAATTCCGTGGAAAAAAACGCGGACTTGACAACCCTGCATCCATACACGAGCTGCAGGAGTCAGATTTGACTGGTCACGGGTGGAGAGTAAGGAGAGATGACTGACAAAATTAGAGGATTTGCTGCTCAACAGATCTTGAGCTCATTGATAAATATCTGATCTTGTAAGATGTGCTCCTTTTACACAGAGTGTGCGTGATCACGAAATCGAAAGTGAAAGTGAACAGCGAGCGCTCATTCAAAGGCGATTTTAATACCCCTCATATTGATAGCGGCTCCCTGAAGCGCGAAAATTATATGCAATATTAGAATGTTTGTGGGAGCGGGCGGTAATGGTCAGAAATTCAGCGGGAGCGGGATTAAGTCCCGCACAGGGCTCCACTATGATCAATTCCCTGATAGCACACGTACATCACGGAGACATGCAAGAAGTACTTTTTAGAGTGTTTGCTCATCTGCAATACGTCTATAGGACGTTTCCTATTAGATGTCAAATAGACGTTTAGAAAATATCTTTAAGATGTTTATGATTTAGATGTATGTAAAACTGACATCTTACAGACGTCTATCAAATGTTTGTATACAGCAGATGCTTTCCAGATGAAGTGATCTTTAACAGACATCTTGCAGATGTACCCCAGACAGTGCGGCTCCAGGATTATTTTGTTGGGGGTGCTAAGGGAGGGCTTAACAGTTCAGAGGGAGTGCTAAAAAACGAATTAAATTGAGAGAAAGTAATGAATGCTTAAGCTTCAGCTATATAAGCATGCGAATTCAGCCACCTTGTGTTTTTTTTAATATACAGAAGCTTCGAAAAAGGCATATTTTAAATTTTTTTCTGTGGTATTAAACTTCTCATATGCCACTGTTATTAGTAATAGCCTATAACTTCTAATGCCAACTGCCAAATATGACACTTACATATTAATACAATTTATGAACGCACATAGAAAAGAGAGAAAGATTTTTTCTTTTGTTATAATTTATTTTATTTTTATTTATTTATTAATGTTTTTACACATATCTATTTACTCATTTTTTTGATTTTCATTGTAAATTCTAACATTTTTTTTTTACAATAGATAAAGTGCTGAGTCTGCTGACAATTCATAAAACTATTTCCACATAAGTCATTTTTTAAGAGTTGCTACTCTGTGTGATGACAGATCCTCTCCATCCTGAACTTCAGACTGAGGCTACGTTTACACAAGTGCGTTTTCGTTTTAAAATGCATAACTGTTGCTACGGTTACGCCTGTCGTTTAGACTACTCTGGAGTTTTTGACCCTCGAAAACGGAGACTTCCGAAAACGCTGCAGACCCCGTTTTAGTTTGAAAACTCCGGACTTGCGTTTCAGTGTAAACGGACCAAAACGGAGACTTTTGAAAACGATGGCATGGCTGCCAACATTCGCTCTGCGTATCTTTGACAACCATGTAAACAATAACATCATGCTCATTGTTGTACCTGCATGAATGGTCATGTGACATGCGTTTTCATTTGTGTAGTGTGGACGGCGATCGTTTCTGAAACGCAGTGAAAACGCAAGTGTAGACGAGGATCGTTTTCATTTTAAATGCCGTTTTTAAATGAAAAAATTTCATTTGATTTCATTTTCATTTTATAACGCATAACTTTTGCCATGGTTACGCCTGTTGTTTAGACTACTCTGGCGTTTTCGACCCTCGAAAACGGAGACTTTCAAAAACGCTGCAGACGGGGTTGCGAGTAAACGGACCAAAATGATGGCGTGGCTGCCCACATTCGTATTTGTAACCATTGAAATGTATAGGTAGGTGCCCCATTCGACTGCGCCAAGCACGTAGACGCATACACGTCCGCCATCTTTAACGGTCAACTTGACGTCATTCACCATAATAATCAATGAATATTCGAAAATGCCACAATCCTGCACAGCCGAAGGTTGTAAAAACCTCCGGGATTTAAATTCCCGAAGAAACGGGATAACCTTTCACAGGTGAGAATGTGTTTATGTTTTTAAATGTATTAACTCAATATTACAAGTTTTGAAACATTGGTAACTTATGTTACTGTTATGGTGAATGACGTCAAGTTGACCCTTCGAATGGCGGAAGGCTTGCCTATAGCGGCCCATAGAAACAGTCGCTAATGTTTGTAACTCTGCGTATCCTTGACGACCGTGTAAACAATAACATTATGCACATTGTTGTACCCATAGATATGTATACGTAGATTCCTCATTAGCACTGTTTCTATGGGCCGCTATACTTAAGCCGTCCGCCATATTCGAAGGGTCAACTTGATGTCATTCACCATAACAGTAACCTGTGAAAGGTTATCCCATTTCTTCGGGAATTTAAATCCCGGCAGTTTTTACAACCATCGGCTGTGCAGGATTGTGACATCTTTTTTTTTTTTTTCTCGAATATTCATTGATTATTATGGTGAATGACGTCAAGTTGACCGTTAAAGATGGCGGACGCGTAACGTGCTTGGCACAGTCGAATGGGGAATCTACCTATACATATCTATGGTTGTACCTGCATGAATGGTCATGCAGGTACTGTACCTAAGCGCGCCTAATTGACCCCTCCCCCGTAATGTCAATTGTTTATAGGCCACAAATTAGACACTTTGTTTTGTTTTTTTTTTGTTTTTTAATGTTTATTTTTCAGTGTTAATGAAAATGACACTGGGAGTTAAAAAACAGGAATATCATTAAGAAATCCTTGGGGGGGCTGTGCCGGGGGTAAGCAAGTTTCTGATGGGGCTATAGCCCCGTCAAGCCCCGACATAGCGCCGCCACTGACCCCAAATAGCACAGATACGTCTGTAAGATGTCTGTTAAAGATCGCTTAATCTGGAAAGCATCATAACTCTGCTTCTGCTCATTTAAACCAATGTTCACTTTCCTCTTAGACTTTATCCACAACTTTTATGAATCATGAAACTTTTATGGATTTGAGCCTGATCTAGGATAGGCCTACTTAAAATAAATCTGGTACTTGAAGAGGTTTGTTTTGTCCTTTATTCCACTTACTGCACGCCTGTGACACCAAATAAAGTTAGTAAAATTAAGTCAAATTAAAAAGTCATAGCCTTTTTGCACTGGCTGTGCTGGTAATAAAGGTCCCAAAAGTGATGCAGTGATGCCATAGAAGAACCATTTTGGGTTCTCCAAAGAACCTTTCAGTAAAGAATTCTTGAAAGAACCATGTTTTTACAGTGTGAAGGATATTTTAATAATCTAAAGAACCTTTTTACACCATGAAGAACCTTTTATGGAATGGAAAGGTTCCATAGATGTTAAAGGTTCTTCATGGAACCATCAATGCCAATAAAAAAACTTTATTTTTAAGAGTATAGCTGTATTGTTTAGCTAGTCTGCCATGCAGGTGCAATGCCCACTCTGGACTTTGCCAGACTTCTTCACAACGATCCAGTTGGAGTAGCTCTTTGAAAGCGTCTGACCTGCTTCATTTTCCCCATAAACAACGCAGGTATTTACCATTAGTGTGGGTTAGAATGCTTTTAACTTTTCCGGAATGAAAATAGTTATAGGCACCCAAGCTGCGATATGCCTTGAACGCCTCCCTTATACACATTCCTTCTCGACTAGGTATTCAAAGATGTGTACCTGACTGACCTCCGGTAAATCAAACAGGTCTGCAGAAAAACATTCTTGCCTCAACATTTTGTTGAACGGGTCTGGTAGAGTAACTTTGTCGCATTTAAATTTGGCCAAGTAAGGGTTCTTTTCTTCTACTGGTAACCCAAAATAATACTGGCTAGACATAGCTTTAACTTACTAACTAATGTAATTTACTTACTTATTTTGCTTGTTATCACAAATAATTTACTCTAGAGGGACTCTGTTGTTATTGATTCTTTGCATAAGTATACCGGAAGTTAAGTTTAGGCCACAAAAGCGCACATGTGTAGTAACGTTTGTATATGTTGTTGCCGTTGAAACTGTATAGCTCTCACGGTACTTTGATGTCACAAGATTGGTCTGCGCAGCGCTGCTTCAAGTAAAATTCAATTCAATTCAATTCAAGTTTATTTGTATAGTGTCATGATCTATAGTGTCGAACGCAGCACTAAGATCAAGTAAAACTAGCAATGAGATACAGCCTTGGTCTGACGCAAGAAGCAAGTCATTTGTAATTTTAACAAGTGCAGTTTCTGTGCTATGGTGGGGCCTGAAACCTGACTGAAGTTCTTCATAGAGATAATTTTTTTGCAGGAAGGAGCACAGTTGAGCAGACACAACTTTTTCTAAAATTTTAGACATAAAAGGAAGATTTGAGATGGGTCTGTAATTTGCCAGTTCACTAGGATCTAGTTGTGGTTTCTTAATAAGAGGCTTAATAACCGCC